GAGTTTGTATCGTTCTTTAATGGAGTCGTTTAGAATCAAAATTTGCCAAATAAATGAAGATTAGATTTGAATTTTTAAAGTTCTGAACGAAGTCTGGACCGTCATAAACATTGACGACACATTACCGTGTTCTAATGGATAAAATACCTCTTGTTCAACTGTTTTAGTTTCCGAAATACGAATCTCGATTAAAAAGGTAGTGAAAGTGCGATTTCTGGGCTTCATAAAGTGAGAATTCTGTGTTGTTAAAAGAAGAGATTCTGTGTGTTACTGGCGAAGATCTCGAGGTTCTAATGGTTTCTGTTTCCTTTCATAAAGCTCACTTCGAGCTGGGATATATTGGTTCAAAGTTGAAAGCCGCCGTTATTTTCGCAGCACTTGGAGTGGCGATCAACTCACGTCGGTCCCTAAGTGTAAGAAAAACATGACATAAAAAAAACATGAAAAAAGGGATAAAGCTCTCAGCGTTGATCAATCCTCGAGGAATGCGCCGTACATTCGACTTCATTAAGTGAAGTTGAAGATGATTGATTGCATATCTGGCCTTTACAATGACTCGTGATGGCCTACCGGTATATCGAGCCAGTGCTGCTATCCTCCCAGACATGTCTGGGACCATAGGCGCTGAGATGAATTCCACGTATGTGTTGCAGGGCGCCTCCAACCACTGCGCTACACGCGCACAAAGAGCGACAATATGCAGAAAATCTTAAAAAATACCTAGGAAGGACAGAGGAATTTTCTTGCCTTATTGACACGTGTCGATTCCTACGGCTCATCCTTCTGTTCCCCATAACTGTTCTTCCTTCGTACGCCTCTGATTCGTTCGCGACAGGTAGTAAAGGAGATTGATCACACCCGTCCACTCTCTGCAAGCAGTTAATGAAAAAGAAGCTTAATTCGTTTGCTACCTACGTTTCATGTGTTTATAATATCTTAAAAAACTTTGTCAAAGACTGGTTTTAATTTGGTTGGATGGTGGGCAATTTCTTCTTCACAGCCAAGAGGTCACTGTCTTCCGGAACATCTTCGAATGTACTGTTCTTCGAAAATTTCTAGAATGCTCATGATTGCCTACAGTAGAAAAGTGAAAGAACAAATCTGTTTTCTTGAATTTCCTGCGACCTTCACCGCCTCAACTTGTGAACACTTGAAGTTATTTCAATTTTTATTGCCGTTACTATTTATCTCCAAACAATGACATAAGTGTAAACGAAATTCGATCTTCTGCAAATCTTTTGCTGTTACTTAAATTTACTAATTTAAGAGCTCGAACAACATAAGCAGCTGAGCGTAGGAAAAGTTAAAATTCGAATGGAATAAATCTGCTGTGAAGTGGGAAAGAATTCAATCGCCGTAGACCAACGACCAGTAAACTATACTCTCTTGCTAATTACTGTAGAAGAATCATATAAATTCATTTGGTTTGAAATGGGAGCACATGAAACTCGAATAGCTTCTTATTTTTCGCCCATGCCCTTGTATACAATTTATCAACATGGACTTGTCCTATGTCAAGACATCGCCCCAGAGGCTACTTTCTATTAATACCTGGGCATTGATCCCAATGATTCGCTGTTTTTCTTCAATGAGCAAACACGAGGTTGGTATTACAGCGTTCATCAACCCACAGTAACTGACATTCCGACGGCTTCGCCGTCAAAGCCTGGAGTAGTCAAATTGACATGTGGTCTACTTAGCCGAACACTTTCATAACCTGAGCAGGAAAAACTTAATGCAAAGTGTATTCTTTCTTTGATGAGCTTACACGAGGTTGATAATGATGTCTATTTTCGGCTAATGTTTCGACGTCTTCGTCTTCCTCAGAGCCGATGATCCGAGTCGATGGTCCTCGCTTGTTATTCGCCTCGACGTGGCAGCTTCGCCTTCGTGTCGAATTAGGTCTTCTTCAGTGAGCCATCTCCTCGAATGAGGCATCCTCACTCAGTGATGCCCTTTTATACACGATGCTGATGGTGGATATAATGATAATGTCCGGTGATAACAACTTGTTTTTCTTCCGGACATACATCATTGCGCACATCGTGCAGAAGTCGGTGTTGTTATCAGCTAGCACAAAACGTAGTAATATTTCGAAACCGGCTTTCCCTGAACTTTCGAAATATTAATGCAAAGTGTTTTTATGCATTAAGAGTTTGATATATATATATACAAAAACTTATCTATTATGTTCTGTCTACCGAGGTTATGGTAGTGTTTGGCTTAGTAGTAGATTGCATCTGAATTTGACCTTTCCACGCTCTGAACGAGACGAAATCGCCTAAACGTCAGCCGTTGTGTGGTAGTAAACGCTACAATGCAGGTTTTGTGTTTGCTCATTGAAGGAAAACAGTGAAAACATCCTCATTTAGCCATTCGTAACTGTCCATTTCTGTTTGCATCCCTACCGGCATGTATTTTGATTTCATACGTGTGATTGCCTCAGAACACGACTTGAACTTTCCGATATGTTTATCCTTTATTTGGAGTGTAACTCTTTCTTTGAATGTCACCATTGTCTCATTAGCGCGCATGTTATCTACATATGTAGGTTTGTCGGCAATTCATATTGAGAAGTTCACTTTATGGTTTCGTTTTCTACAACATGGAGTCTGACCTGGACTTCCTACCATTCATGAGGCAACTGGGCCGCCGTGAAATTGGTATTCTTGCTGGCCGTTTTACTTTTCGAGCGAGTAGATTTCGAATGAGAGAGACATTTGCTGGTGAAGAGAGCAGCTAGCCACCTGAAAGATTGTCACCATTCAGAGGGCAGCAATGGCCTCCTCGATGTATTTCGATACTAAAACCGAACACTTAAGGACGTCTTTTCACTATAGTGAGACGGTAAATCACTAAGAGAACTTGCATAATTGAATCATATAGTTATAGTTATCTACTCGGTGTCACCAAAACTATTCGTCTGTGAATGAGCTATGCGTTCATCAGTGTGTCTTCGCATAGGATGTGACTCGTGTCCTACTCATATTCTCATAGCACTGTGTCGATGTCAGAAGCATCATGCTCAAATACTCTTAGCTTACAAAGTCGTTTAACAAGCCCATACCATTTAGATTTCACACAAGTTTCGTAGTTTCCATTCTTTCAATATTACTCACTTTAATTATAGCCACCGATCTTTTTATTTTACGTACAATTTATAGTCTTTGCAATCTATCACTAACCTTTTTTTGTGTATTAGCAAAGTGTTCTGGTCACTTTATGAAGATCTGACTTAAGAACAAAACCCGAAGTAGAAATAACACTTTCAAAAAGTTGCCCTTATAGCGAAGTGGGAAAGTCTGTTCTCAAGTTCTGTCGGGTTTTCAACCTCTCAAGTGCTCAGATTTACAAAACACCGTGAGGTGTCGGAAAACTAGTGGCCTCTTTATGTGTCGTATAAATGAATTTTCATCAGTAGTTAATTGTTACTTCGTTTTCCAATACTGAATAATAATGGTTATTTTATGATACGGAAGAGTATTAAATGTACCAAAATAATTACAGTGGTGCTGAAACAACCTCAATGAGGGACCTGCATGGTGTGGTGGTGAACGCGTTAGCCCTCGGAAATGGTAACAACGTGTTCGTTCTCCACCGCGGACACTTGCGGTCCGGAGTTTTGCAAATATTTCATCATCATTGTGGTTACTATGGTTATACTTCACATAATAAATACACTGCTGTGGGAAAATAATGACCATTAGGTAAAAGTTATGCACTGTATCAAAATAGTTTATATGTTGTGAAATTGAAGCAAATGCGGACATCACATAGGCGTTCGAAAAGTTCCAGAGGTCTGTGGGAAGACATAGGTAACAAAAAGCCTCAAAAAGTAATAGCAAAACACAGAGAAACTGTATTTTAGAACGACATTACAACAAGTGGAGCGGGGTTATTTGATAATAGAGTTATTGCGCTACCATGAGTCTATATCAACTCATAACGAGTGCCGTCAAAAATTTCGCATCGACTAATGCAGCACCATGGATTTATGGATCGGACTTTAAATGTTAAAATCCTTGCCATAACTCGTAAGCCAGGAAGATGGCATGCATAGATCCAATTGGAACGTAATCTTTTTGATATCGAACCTTTGAAATTGTTATCCCCTTATTCTTCTACAGTGGCTATCATGTCGTCACCCCAGGCGGATATCGTGCCTGACACTGTTTCTACATAATTGAGGAAATGCATCTTAGCTTATAGGGAATTTAATTTTTGAAATAAGCATCGGCAAAATCTACGGGTCTTTGTAATTGAGAGCCACGTTTTCTAATTCTGCCAAGATGAAATTCCGATATTCTAGAGCCCTTAAAACGTTATTTCTTCTTGGAAGCTCGTAATGTGCGCAGTTGAGCAAGTGACACTTTAACCAGTGGGACACGAGGGTGCCATCTAATTTATTGTTGATGTTTGTGACTACCGTGGTCACTTAGAACTTTGAGTTTCAAAATTTTCAAATCTCTTTGTTTTACATGACTCATTTTCACTTTCACTGCGTAGATTCCCGCACTGCTTCCACTCGATACCGTGATATGATTTGATATCACTTCGTAACGAGAAAGACAAGGGGAGGTGTTTGATAGATGCGGTACCCAAGCAATACAGATATAGGGCTTTAGGTTTTAATGGAGATTTCCATCTAGTTTTCCAGATTTGCTTTTCTTTATATGTTCTTTCATATTACCGTACACTTTACTACAAGTGAGGTTTGAAAGATTACTGAATGTAATGTTTTTCTTATACCGTCCTCGGATTTTACCTTTTAGTTTATGAACTCGAAAGAATTCATTGCTTTTTGAAATTCTTCAGTTATGAGCCACTTATCCCAAGTGGTTACGTGGTCATACATAACTTGGTATCACAACACTGTCGATGTAGATGTGAACTTCACAGATCTCCTACAGATCTCATTGTTTTTAGACTTCTTCATGTTGAGCTTTCCTTGATTTTTTTTTAGCTTATCGAGACCGTTTGCGCATAAGATGTTTTCAGAAATGTTGCCATTCCTTCGGGTAGTGCAAAGAGGTCTGACGTCGGAAAGAGCTTCACCCCGTCTTCTGTGCACAGTTGAGAATTCCAAGGATTCCACCAACACCAGTAGTTAGTTAATAACAGCTTTATCAAACTCTGTTTCTTATGTTGTCCTTTTATTTGGTACCAACTTTAATTTTTCATGGTAGGGTATGATGTAAGATACAACCACAACGATGCTGATATTCGCAAAACCTAGACCCTGAGCCAGATCGAACCACGATTTCCCTTTCCAGGGGCTCGCGTATTACACACTGCACCACGGAGGCCCTTGCTTTGCGTTTCTGTCGGCTAATTTTCTACCTAGCACTGCCATCAACAATCACCCTTTCTCACTCTTTAGTAGGATTGGGTTCTGGTTCTCTTTCTTAAGTCTCGTAATATCGCTATTTAGAAAGCGACCCTGATGCACCTGTAGTACTTGAAGATAATCCATACAAACGGCCGGATAGAAAATGTTTGCTTTGCAGTACTGGCATCGAGTTGGATTATAAGAATGCACGACTTCTACAGGTTAGTTTGTAGTGCATTTAATATTCCGTGTTTTTCATCCTGCTTTCTTTTAGCAATTTGTATCGACGTTTTCTGGACGGGTGTACGACCGTCATGTTACAGGACTTTGTGACCACCAACAAAAGAAACTTGTTGAGACAATTGCGCTTTCGCGAAAGGCTGGGTATATGCCAATATTTGTTAAAGATCCAAAATATGTCAAGGATCCGAAACTTTTCGATCCACTCAAGCCGATTCGTCCTCACTCTTTCGCCTAATAGTTCTTGTGTCTTCGTGGTTAGATATGTTGTTAGGCTTATGTACGCTGATTTTTTTGAATAAATATTTTTTTCATACAGTGACCTTAAATACTTGAAAGCACTTTGATAACTGCATATTTTTTTTTCTATTTATTGGTATTGAAAAACTATTGACTTGCAAACAGATACGATGGGGAACGAGCCAACGTTTTCTGAAACACCATACTCCCGTGAGTATTTTACCGAACTAGTGGATAAGCTGCGAACTGACACAAATGTTAGAGAATTAATTACGTAGGTTTTTTCGTTCTGTTCACATGTTGCTGAATCTATAAAGGGGCAAATACTGCCGTTTAGTTTGTATGGTACCCTGAGCGGAGTTGAACTTGAACTTGCTGCACCGTCGTTCTGCTTACTTGCTGAAAAGTGTCCCGATAGTATGCGAGAACTCATGATGAATATCGTTCATCGCACTTTAACAGGTCCAATTTTTGAGAAACTATACGTCATTGAAGAGACTCGTGTGGCGCAGTGGTCGGAAGCAATCGACACATACGTGGAATCGATCTCCGCGTCCATGGCTCACCAAGCCATCTATCCCTCTGGGGTCGGCAAATTGGTACCAGACTTGTCTGGGAGGATTGCAACACTGGCTGAATAGATCGGTAGGCCACCGTGACTCATTGTAAAGGCCAGATACGCATTCAATCATCTCTAGCGATGCCTAATGAAGTCGAATGCATGGCGCATCTGTTAGGGATTGATCAACGTCAAGAGCTTTATCCTTTTTTTATACGTCATTTTATTTGCTAGTTTTAAACCATTGTTACGTGCAGGTGGGAATTCCCGTTCTGCAAGAAAGGCGGCTTATGCATGCCTTAAAGTTCTAACCCGCGACCGAGAGTCCATGTGGAGTGACTTCCTCATTCTCTGTCAGTGTTTAGAAGAGCCCCAGGTTTGCTAGTTAATCGGCATTGAAAAGAACATTTATCTTTTTTAAAGTTGATCCGTTGAAATAGTTTAATGTGTTTTAGTTTCACTTAATCAATCCCGTCTTATCACGTTTTGACAACATACTGCAGTTGGTGTATTCGGAACGGATAGATTTCGAATGGGCTATAGTTGTATTTACGAGGGCCTTTGCTCATTCAAATGGTTGGATACGACTGTGGGCACTGGAAAGATTGGTAACAGTTCAACCTGGAACAATGGCGGTTAATCATGACGTAAGTCTTTTGAATTCTCTTCAGAGCGATAGAAGATCTTTCATTGGTAATTAACAGTGCGTTACTTTTAGTTAGTTTCAAAGGCCTTTCGTATGTATATTTTGATCAACGTGAATTAGAAACGTGAGATAGGTACCGCTAGTTCTCTCGTACTTTTCAGTACTTTTTGTCGGTACTGCTGAGCCAGCTAAACTCAAATGAAGCATTTTGGCGGCTTCTCAACTGCGAAAATTTAAGGCCGTTTCTTCACTCATTGAGGAACCAAATCGTTGGGATCTTGTCGGCACTAGATTATTCGAGCAGAGGTATTGTGCTTTCTGAAAGTCACTTTTTTCTTTACTTTCAGAAAGAGGTTTCTATCATTTAGAACAATGTAGATGATGAGAATTTCAGAGCTTTTCCTGAGGAAGATTCTTCGTACAGTCACCGAAATGTCTAGTCCTTCGTCTATTTTTTTCATTTCACATTCTCTAGTGGAAGTTCAAACGATGCCGTGCCTTCATCTGGATGATATTCCTTTGGCTACGTGAGCTTACAGATTGAAAATATCTCCAACGTTGCTAAGACACGCGCAAAACGACCAGGTCGAACCACGATCATCCCCTCCCTAGCCCCGCTTATTACACGCTGCACCGCGGACGCCCTTGCTTTATGTTTCCTTCAGTTAGTGTTCTACCTATAGTTACCATCGGCCATCATCTGTGACCGGGATTGATTTGGGAAGCGCAGATCGGCATTGAACCCAGTTAAGCTGAGGCTGTAGTTTCAAAATATCTATTTCAAACGTTCGTCCATTTTCTCTGGCGATTTGTTGCAGGTTGCTTCTTCAGAAGACACGTAGTATTCAACATACTACAATAAAGCTTGCTGCTCTGTTCAATTTTGTTGTGTTCTTCTCGAAAATAATTAGATTGGTACAACTCATTTCTTCTTATGTTCTTTTTTAATGTGGTCTTTTCCATTAGAATCTAAGCAGCGATTCTGTTCAATTGTTAGAATCCTGAAGTGGCCAACAAGATCGGATGCTTGACTGCTTTCTTCTCGAGGGTGGATCAATCCTTGTTGAATCGTTTTATGGAGATGAAGTCTTCTCAGGCAATATTGCAGTCTACAATTGAACCTGTAGAAGTCGTTCAGTTTGTGCTTCAGGATCGTCCGAACTTTGAGGTATTTTTCTTGGCTATTACTAGGCGGTGAAAAATATTAGTGCGCAGCAGTATGCCATTTATGTTTATATACAATTTTCTGTACATGAAACATATTTTTCCAAACTACATATTTTACATTTGTAACTCTGCAGTGTGTTTATTTTTTTATTCATTTTTAATGGTTAAGAAGGATGTCTAAGTGGCCTACACTGGTCATAACTTTGTGGAATCGTTGTAATTATTTGGTTTTGCTATACTACTAGACTGGGCGCGCGTAGTGCAGTAGTAGGAGGCGCCCTGCAATACACATGAGATCGATCCCTACGCCCCCTGATCCACAAGGCTTCCATCCGTCCGGGGTCGGCAAATTGATGTCAGACTTGTCTGGGACAATGGCAGCACTCGCTTGATACATCGGTAGGCTAATGCGAATCTTATTGGCCAGAGGTACATTCAGTCACCGCTTGACGATTCTTAATGAAGTCGAATGCATTCTGTGTCCCTCAGGGATTGATCAACGCCGGAAGCTTTATCCTTTATTTATTTATATTAGTAGACTGTGGTTGTAAGGAACCTTCTTATTTATCGCCAGGAGCTCCATAATGTCCTGTTCCGAAAGTCTTTAAAAAACATTCGAATGACTGGTGAAACCTTCGTGATGGTAAATGTGTGTTCTCGCGTCAAAGTCAGCACATTTTCACAGATGCTGGTTTTTCGATAACCGCAGGAAGTTTTTTGAAAAGCAGAACATTTTACTTACTTGATATTTGATAATTGAATCCTCACTGGTTGTGCGGACTCTAGCACAATCTTCATTTTTTGGAGATTTGCTGGTTAAGCCATTGTGGTACCCTGGAATCTTGAGGTCAGCCTGGCCAAAGTCTACCCCAGGTCGTCACCACGACAGGCAGTCGCAGCCCTTGTAGATTAGAGGGCGATTTGCCACTATGCGACTTCGATATCAGGACGGTGGTGGATCCTGATATTGGTTTACTCTTAGCTAGACTTCTGGATGGAAACGCCGGACTAAGTTTGAGAGACCCTGCCAGGGGATGAATCCCCCGCTGTACATCGCAGTCCGACACCCAGGAATACCTTCCAGCCACGTTGAGGCGGTAAACCGTTGGGGCGACGTAGAACACCTTAGGAATTGAAATTTTAGAAAACGCTGTTCATTAATAGATACCCTTATAATTTGCCCTACTGCTGTAAGGGCAGAATTAATCCTTCTAATGCTCACAAAAGTTTTTTAAATTCGAGTTTTCAGAAGGAAGTGAAAACGTGGTCAAATTTAACTTCAGTGTTTTTAATGCACTAAAATTGCTCATGCAGGGACATAACCCTGTCCCACTGATCGGGCACCTACTTTTTCTATCTTAAACAAAAGCTCGCGGCGTTGATCAATCAGCGTTGTGTATTCGACTTCATTGAGCATCGTTAGAGGTGACTGAATGCATATCTGGCCGTTACAATGACTCGCGGTGGCCTACCGATGTGTCAAGCTGGTGTGGCTATCTTTTCGGACTAGTCTGGTATCAATTTGTCAATCCCAGAGGGATGGAGGGCTTGGTGAGCCTTGTGTGCGGGGTCTATCCTCTGTCTATTGCACGGTGCCTCTGACCACTGTGCAACGCTCGCCCGATGTTCTGTCTTAGCTAGAAAAAGGACAGGCGCTGAGGAAAAAGAAAACACCTAATTCGCTCCAGAAATCAGAATTTTTTCTCGGGAGAATAGGGAGAAAGTGTGTAATATGAACTGAGATGTTTCTCTGAAATTGGACAACGCAATTGTTCGAGCACAAGCACGTTGACATCAATAGTCTTCGTTGCTGCAAATATGCTAAATCTTATTGTCATCAGCGTCTGGTCGTGATCATTTTTATTCCAGAAGGATGACTTCGCAGCCCTTTTATGGGTCCGTGCGCACTTATCTGGACAAGATGGCAGTCTGAAAATGGTCATTGAGAAAGAATTGGCTAATCGTCTTGTGAATGTGAAGGAACGGTTTGAAAGATTGTCTTCCTCAGTTACTGAGGCTGTGGACACTTTACTAATTATTCTTTTTGCCTATAAGGAAGGTAAGCCATAGTGCTTTACAACTTTTTAAGTGCGAGTAGTGTGTATCTGTGTTTAAGCCTTACTCACTCTCTAATTTTCTTGCGGTGTTTTAGGAAAAGATAGTATTGCATTTTTCTAGAACTCTTACCAGTTTCTTGTGGATTGGATCAACTTATTCAGCATTACATTTTCTTACGATGTACTACCGCGTCCTCTAGCGTAAGGTTTTACACTCTTTTAATTATATAAGTACTTTATGTTCACAAGGCAGGAATTGTAATTAACTTCGGCATTAGTCAGTTACTGTGTTCTTGATGAACTAACAGGAGGTTTTCAAACCGACCCTCATTTGACCTCGGTAGTGAAATAATCAACTTCTTTAAATTGTTGAGCTTACCTGAGATTGAGGAAACTTTTATTCGACTAACGTTTCCGCGTCTTACCGATGAGTGTTGTCAACAGCAACCTTCCTGTATAAAATAGCACTGCAGGGTGAGTATACGTCATTCATGCGGTGTTCCACGAAAGAGGATCCGTCTCGATATAACTACGAAAACGTCACATCGAAAAACGAACAACTGCTGACC